TGATGCAGGTGCATCAAGTCATAAAAGTTAAACCATAGACTTATTGCTTAGGATAAATTTCTTAAATTACCCTTACTGTTTAGCTAATTGACTAAATGTACCCTTACTGTTTGAAAATTGACTAACGCTATTTCTATTGTTTCTAATAATTGACTAACTCTATCTTTACCGTTAAGTTCTGTTAATATTCTATCAAAACTCATTAACACGTGATATATATATATATATATATATATATATATATATATATATATATATTTAAAACCCAATTTTACCCTTCACCTCTTTCCCTCTCTTTCTCTCTCCTCTTCTTTTTCACCAATAATATGAGGATTCTCAGAGGAGACAATGGTTGAGGAGATAGAACTGTGTAGTTGCGGCGGTTCCAGAGAAGAGAACAAGAGGGGCACCATTGTTCGGTGGGAATAAGCTACCGTGAGGTCTCGCCAACGTCAGTTGCTGCTGTAATGATAGTGATGTTGAAGAGAATAGAGGAGAGGTCTTTTTCTGTTCTAAAACTCAAAACGAACCGACAGTGATTTGGATTTAGCACCTGAAGCGGACGCGGGGGAAGCCAAAGCTAAACCATAAGGTTTACAGGGTTCTAATAGCGCTCTAATTTTACAACCGTCTTTATACCATTATTTTGATTAACTAAAAATTTAATGCTCAGAGTGCCCTGTTCTGATCGGCTCTCATAGGAACAATCCTCAAATCCTTCCACGAGTTGCTCTTCTTCAAGTACAAACTTAGATGGTTTCATGAAGCTTCGAGCGAGTAGAGTTTGTTGTTCACAACATCAACAAGGAGTGGTGATCGCGATGTCGAAACAGGGGCATCCTTCAACATGTCTGGAACTAGCTCCCTTGCATTCATATCTACAACATAGAACTCATCGCAGGTGAGATCAACTCCTCTTTCGTTTTGCCCTCCAATCACGTAGAACTTGTTGTCCATGTAACACCCTGAACACATCCTCCTCTGTTGATGCATCCTCGGAAGTGAAACCCATAATTCTTGTTGAATCATTTGATCTCCTCTGTGAGAAGCTTGATTTTCTCATCGTTCTCCCCCTTATCGCGCAATGACCGGATCATTGTGGCAATAGCAAGTGCACTAGCCGTTCAAGTAGTAAAGAGGTGAATAGAGTATCATTCCCACGAGGATTTAGGAAACAACTACTAATACTAAATTGGCCAATTCTTATCTGATCAATAAAACATCATAACTTTATTCAAAATTTAAAATTCCCAAGCTACAATCTAACTAAAAAGCATTGACTCAAATACCTTCTATTCAAGTTAAAAGAGTAAGCAAGAAAATCTAATTTCATGATTCAGTAACCAAACTACTTAACTCATTCGAATAGGCCATGATTTAGCCTTGGTTTGGTGAAACCCCAAGGTCATGAACAACCTTTTTCAAGAGCATGTTCATCCTATGCATGAATGATGATCCTTRTAYCTCTATCAAGGATCTAATCATTCATGCATGCATTAATTCAAACACATCAAGGGCATAAATTCAAATCTGAATTGATCACCAACTAAATTGTGCAAGTTATTTGTAACCTTGCATGCAATTCAGTTCTTGAATAGTAGATCTGAATTCCTAGAGTCTCTCTCAAGCACTCTAGAAATTCCAAGCATTAGATCAAATCGGCCAACTTAAGAATTGAAGATCTGAATTCTTTTTCAAGCAATTCAGATCTTACAAATCTCATATCTGAGTTTGTGAGAGATAAAATTGGCCAGTCTGATCTAGAATTCACACTCTATTCAAGAAACAACAAGAAGAGATCTGGTCTACTCGAATGATAAAGAAATTTGATTATTCAATCTGAAATTTTACAACATTGATTACGACAAGAAAGAATGAAAGAGAGGAAGAGAAAATTACATAGATAGAAGCTGAATTCAAACTCAAGAAAATAAAAACTAAGTAGAAATAGAACAATTGAACTCTCTATCAAATTTTCCCCAAATTCAAACTCACCTTCTTCTCTTCTTCCTTGCTTGGATCTCTTCAGCCATTCTCCTTCTTGTGCCTAGCTCCTTCTTCTCTTCAAGGAATCCAAACCCCAAAGGAGTGGAGAGCCTTGAACTTGAGCAAATGAACACCTCTCCCCCTTCTAGAGGCCTCCTTATATAGGCTTTCAAGGAAGCTCTTGCCTCTTCTTGATGCCTCTAGAAATGGGTATATTACACCCCTTTTGAACCTTCTTGAGTGCTCCCTCATTCTCTTCAAGAAACTTCTAGGAGTTGCCGCCCCTAGCTCCCTTTGGGCTGCTATTTGGGCTGCAACTGAGCTTGCTTTTGAGCACATGTTGGCTGCACTCTAGGTTGTTCTTTGGGCTGMAAATGGGCCTCCTCTTTGCTGGGCCGAAATTTCCTTCTTGCTAGGCTTCTTTCCTTGGGTTTTCCCAAAGAGTTAGCTTGCACTACTTGGGCCGAATGATACTCCCTTTCTCTCATGGCTGGGCTGGGCTGAATTTGATAAAATTTTGGCTTTCTTTTTTCTTGCTTTTTGCCTTCTTTTCCTTGAGCTGGTTGCCCCTGAAATCTTTTTTGCAATTAAGCTAAAATAGGGCGAAATTTAATTAAACCGGCATAATACTCCATGCAAAGACCTCATAAATTATAGGTAAATTGTGTATTCATCACGCAACAACCCAAACTTTTCCTGTTCCAAAACTTCAATCCTCTTCAACTCAGAAACAATGCCACCACCAACTTAGTTGGTTTGTATCTGACTAGAGATCTCAGACCTTCAGAGTGGAACGAGTCTAACACAACAGATCTCATACTTAGACTCATGCTTCACATCACAACAGATACAGTTCAGATCTCAACCTCCGCTCTAGAGATCCGACTCATGTTGTACATCGCTGGAAGTCTTAGACTCAAAACTTAGTTGGCCGATCTGCACATCGCAAAGACTCATGCCACTCTAGATCTCAAACTCAAACTCATCTATGCAAACTCCGGCCGGTTCAATATTTAACATTCAAATTTCAAAAGAGGGGAGAAGAGGTCAAGGAAGGAGTTTTTCTTTTAACTTAAAAGGTAGACATTTCATCATTTTCATTCTTCCTCTGGGCGACGACACAACGTCTGAAGTCTGATCTCTTTCTCTTCTTCCTGGGTGACGGCTACGGCTCAACCCTGTAACTCCACCCACTGCTCTGTAACTCCACCCAACAACGACAACATCTGAACTCTGAAGGGTAGTTTAGGCATTTTGCATTGTTTTTGACAAAGGTTAACAGTAAGAATAGAGTTGGTCAATTGGCAGAAACAGTAGGGGTAGCATCAATCAATTTTCAAACACTAAGGGTACACTTAGTCAATTAGCTAAACCATAAGGGTAGTTTAAGAAATTTACCCTATTAGTTATATCTAGGGGTGTTCACGAGTCGACTTGTTTTGGTTGCAAGTTGTTTTTCCAATCAAACTGACATTGTTGGGTTGGGGAATTGGTTTACCCGAAACTGATCAACCATTAGTGAAATTGATCAATTCATGTTGTATCAGTTTGGTCAATCGGTTAAAATGGTTTAAATTTAAAAATTAAAATCAAATTTAAAAAATATAATGGTATTATTAAAAAAAATTAAATTTATAATATAAAATATTTTACTAGGAAATATGAAAAATTTCCACTTTCCCATATTAAAATAATTAAACTTAAGATATAAAATATTAATATAGATATATTTTTAGGTCATGTTTGTTTCGATCAGTTTACACACTATCAAACCAAAATTGATCCAACCAAAAAAAGTTGAAAACCAACTAACTCAGGTCAAATTAGGTTAGATTAGTCGGTTTAATTGGTTTGATCGGTCTTATGAACAACTATATCTTTACCCATTATGTGTATTTGTACGTGTGTTGTTACACATATGCTCTCATCTAGGCCTGTAAATGGTATTTGAAAATCCGAATTCGAATCCGAGATTCGACAATCAAATCGAATTCGGATAATTCAAATCAGATATTCAGTCGAATTCGAATATTAATTTCTTACCGATTAAATTATCAGATCGAATTCGGACATGCATTGATCCGATCCCATAAATATAATAGAAGGAAGGTTTTTGTTGAATTTTTTAAAAATTCAAAGAAAGTTTTTATTAAAATAAAACTACAGGAAAAGATTTTATGATTCTTAGAAACTTCATGGAGATTTTTGTATTTTGCCCTTTTTTATGTTGAAGTTTCAGTTGAGAAGGTTTCTATGTCTGTTTTGAATTATGATTTGTAATAAACTGTCATTTTATGAGTAATAAAAAGGAATCCTTTATTTCGGGATAGACTAAATTGAATGATTGTAAGAGATGGTTGTTAAATAGTAAAAGGAATCATTAAGTATTAGAAGAATTCATTTTCTAGTTCTATTTCCATGAATTCTCCAGAGTGTGGTTCATGTTCACTTGTCACCTAAAAAAGGTAAAGAAACCAAAGATTCACATGCACCCAAAGAAAAGAGAAAGAATAGCAAAGGGAGAGAAGAAGAACAAAAGAGAAATGGGAAGAGAATGCAAAAAATAAATAAAACACATGAAAAGGAAAAATCCGGTTAGTCGGTCGGTGACGACTGATTAGCTCACCTCAGATAGAGAAATAGTGGAAAAAAGTAAAAACTGGGGTAGGAGACTTCGGTTGTCGTTGATTCGTTGCTCTGAATTTGATTATAAATTTCACAGAAACCATTTCAAGGGTAAATCTGATATTTTAATAAAATTTATGTATTACGTCAGGTTTTCATCTAAAAACACTAATTTTAAGGGAAGATTCTGTTATAATCAAAGCACAGTGGAAGTTTACAAGATTGTAAAAAAAGTTAGGGGAGATTTTTCTATTTTACCATTTAATCCATTATCCACAAGACAATACTCCCATAGAATAGTCCTTGCCGAGCATATAAAACAGAAGGGTATTAACGTTATTTTCGTGACAAAGCAGGCCCATTTATCCATAGCGGGAAACGTAGTGGCCTAGTGCAAGTAGTTCTTGGCTTTCGCTCACCGAGGGCTCCGCTTTAGGAAGGCACTGACTGCAAGCTGTAGAAAACCCTAGAGCAGAGTGCGTTCAGTGATAGCCATGGGTCTTCTCTCTTGGTGGAAGGGCAAAGAAGCTCCTGAGATGAAAACCAAGCAGAAAACAGAGCCGAAACCCGAAAAGTCGGCCGAGAAGTCAGAAACATTGGGCATGAACGGAGCCATGGAAGTTCCTCGACCGGGTGAAGTAACAGTTTTTGAATTCGGGTCAGTTGCATCTTCGGCCGATAAGGTGACGCTTGCAGGGTACTGCCCAGTTTCAGATGAACTCGAGCCATGCCGTTGGGAAATCTTGCCTGCTACTGGTTCTGAAGCTCCGCAATTTCGGGTAGTTTTCTGATAAATTTGTATAACAGAGAACCTTAATCACTTTTTTTTTGATGAATGAGAACCTTAATCACTTCCGTTCCGTGGAAAACGAAATGGGTTTTGTTTAATGTCTTTAAGGGCCAATTAAACTTGAGATATGGTAGATAATTTGTTGAAAGAGTTTCTGTGCATGGCGTGTTTTTTTCCGGTTAATGGTTGATCACTGTCTTAGCAAACTTTTGAATTTTGGGTTTCCCCTGCAATTTTATATTTTGCTCATTCTCATTTGACTAGGGTAACCACGAAACTGATGAGATATTTGAAAAAGTGAGTAATGGATCTATTTACATAACATCATTTAATACTTAATGAGTGCTCTAGCTTGTATTTCCACATTCTATACTTCTACATTCTGCCATGGTGAAGCCAAAACTGATGAAGATAAGTACCTAGTTACTGATAAAAAAATGTATCTAGTTGAATTATCTCATCGATTTTAAGTGCTCTAAATATCATGAGGTGTTATGGATTTTGTTTCAACTTTAGTTGAGTTTCAAATTACCACGGAAGAAGTGTCTCGCTGTATCAACTAGTATCTTTGATGGTTTTTAGGTAATTTTAGTTGAAAGTATTTCAGATGGTTCTCTCTCCTCTCCGTCTAGAATTTTTGTGTCTCTCTAGTATTGTCCGGCTGGCCGCTGATTTTCTCTAAATCTTTATATTCTCATATTTTTTACTTACAAATTGATCTCACTTGTTGTATCGGCACCTGAGTGTGGTTGATTTGGATAGATGCAGTGAAGTATCAAAATTTCTGTAGTCTAATAATTATATCTAGAATCCATATGTTTGAACCGAGCTACTTTATTTTGAAAGAAGAACTAATTTGAATTTTTTTGTCCTACCACTTTTCAGAAAAAAAATGCATCTCATATTAAAAGCGGAAGGAAACCCCATCCTTTTTCTTAGAGTCTTCTTTCTGGTGTGCTTATTGTCTTGTCTTTGACCATCTATTATATCTTCACAATGAACGACTGAAGATGGGGATGAAGGTAACCGGAACTTCTGAATGATATGATGCTTAGGTTATTGTTTGGATATCTATAGTCTCCTCTGTAAACTGTAGTTAAGGTTGTCTCTTTGCAGATTGAAGAATATAAGTGGATCTTGTTAAAAAATTATAGGTAATTTGCAGTGCTTTTGTCATTCTAGAAGCTGTTAGGTTTCAAGTATGTCATCGTGGTAATGCCAATTTCTGTGGAATGTTCTATGATTTAGTAAGACATGTCTTTTTGGCTCTTCCATAAGTTTTATGCCACTGACAGTGGATAGGTTGGAAGGTCCAAGGTTGGATGTGGGATGAGGTATAAGGTTTAGTGGGTTTTTAGATGGTTTAAAATTGCTAGCATTTAAAGGAATAATAAGGTTAAAAGGGCTGGTTTACAATTAGCATCATAACAGTTATAAGGAAGCCCCAGATCCTGAAATGGATATTTACTGGATTTATACGGTAAGAGTTTCAAATTCAAAGGTAAGAAGTGACCTGCCACAGTTCACAAGTTGAAGAGTCTAGAAGAGCTAGGGAAGACCAAAAAAGGATATAAGTTGAAGTGAGAAATGACTTAAGGGTATCATTGAATGTAGTGACTGTGTTGGCGGAGATGATTAGCTGCAGAGTCATTCAATACTGACGTTGGTCTTCTATCTTTTCCTTTTGATCCTTAAATTGGGATAGAAGGCTGATCTATTTGGATCAGAGTTGTAAGAGTTGTTATGTGGATTGCAATCATTAGATTGGGGTGGTGAGCAAGATGTTTGCATTTGTGTTGAAATTGTGATCCTGCATAGGATTTGGGGAGATTTACAAATTGAAGCTGGGGCTGCAGTACTTGTATTACCATTCTTTTGTTTTTATTAAATTTGTCTTTTATCATAAAAAAATAATTTTGCAATGGAAATAACATTGAACAGGGTAGAATGGTAGAACTGGATTCATATGGCTGACTCCATATAGTTTGGGGAAAGGCGTAGTTGAGTTGAGTATATTTAATGGTTTGGGGGTTTCAAGAGGAAAGGTCCAAAAGGAGGGAGAGGTTCCCTCAATCTAATTACAAAAGGAATACATCTGAGCAATACAGGCCAGAACCAGAAGAACTGTACAAAAAGTATACTGATTGTATAAGATGTATCCTGTGTTCACTCATTTCTAGAATCAACAAAAAGAATTCTCTCCCTTTCATTTGTTAATTTCTCTTTTTTCATGCCTGTGAACTCCTTCAGAACATTGGTCCATTCGATCATGCACCTGTTGGCCTGCCAATTAGTTTTTCAATCTCTGAACCTTATTGATTGTAGACTCTATTATTATGCTCCAGCCAAGTGGCCCAACACAGGGCACCACGAACCAAATGCCACATCACCTTACCCCTTCGACTAAACACCTCAGAGAGCCAAGATGCAATTGGAAGAAGGCAGATCCCTCGGTATTACTATAACAATCCTGAACAACTACAAAAAATGGTACCACATATGACAGGCAACTGGGGCACCATGGCAATAGATGGGCTACATCTTCAACCTCTGACTGGCATGGAGCAAACTGATTAACAATGGCCATACCCCTATTGGTTATTGAGAACTGCAGACTACAAGAAAAACTTTGCCTTCAATGACCATTGGGCTTTCCAGATCCAGGAGGCTTATTGGATACAGTATGGAATCATTGATAAAATTAGCTTTTACTTGTGTTGAAATTAGGTTGGAGGTAGGGTGCTACCCCAGTTCCTACATTTTTTTATTGACATGGGAAAAATTAGGATTTTTTTACTATTTTGTTGTCTGTAAACTATAATGCTATGTGCTTATATAAGTAGCACCTTCTATTCAGTTGCAAAAGGTAAAGGTTGCACAAGTAACTATATTTCTTTCCTGTGCGAGTAACTTCTAAAATTCACTCTTTATCTGTTGGCTGTCCACAATATAGCTTTTTTCTTTCCTCATCGTATTCTCTTTCAAGTCTATTCTATAGCTAACTTATACCATCCATGAGTGCTCTAGCCTCACCACCAAAGTTCCATATTTTCTTTGGATGGAAATGTTAACTTTGTATTGTAAAAGGCCAGAAAAATACATCCACATTTGGATGTGCAGGAATACATATCCTCCAATTTACACTCGTGCTATGTTTGGTTTGAAGGAAAAAGTAGGGAAAGTTAGGGAAACCTTTACAAACCTTGTATAGGTTTTCCTAACTTTCCCTACTTTTTCCTTCAAACCAAACATAGCCTAAAGGTTTTCGACATTCTGACTAGCCCATGAGTTAAAACAAATGACCGTCGCATTCAAAATGATGAGATTCTATTTCCCCTCCAGGAAAGCTTGTATCTATTACTTGGTTATCATAACTGGCCCTGTAGATAGCTTTGCTTGTTTTTCTGGACTGTTTATGAAAGGAGGGGAAATAGGAAAATAACGTCCTATTGGCATCTCTATCGTTGTATCAAGCACAAGTCTTCTCATTGGTATTGCCTAAAATACTGATTACACATTTGCACCTAATCACTTTTCACCCGTGTAAGTGCAATAACCTGGGTAAATTTTTTTTTGGAAATACTTATTCGGGTAAGTACATTTACCCATGTTCTTTTATTTTATAGGTAAATAAGATAATGATCATTTTAATCATAAAAATTTATTATTAAAAGCATAGTTGTCAAGGTCTCGCCTAGGCACCCTTAGTTGGGTGCCTCGCCCAAACACCTTGACTTTTAGTAACTAGGCGCGCCTGCCTAGGCGATTAAACGCCCGCTTAGGTGACAAAAATGACAAGGCGGGCGCCTTTTATAATATCATTTATATTGTTGTATTTTATTAATGTATGTATTAATACATTTTATTATATGCTATATATATCAATTATATTTTGTTTTAATTTTTTATTATTGAAATTTAAAATTCTCAAAGGGTTTTGAGAAGAGAAAAAGAAGCAAAGAATGAAAGAAAAGAAAAGAAAGGGGAAAGAATCAATAGGATAATAAAGTTCTTTTTTTTATTCTCTCTAATTAAATAAAACAGAAACTCCATCCTTGTTTTATTTTCTATTTTACTTTTTATCTTGAATATTTATCATATAAAGTTAATAACCTTCTTTAGTTGCTAATTAATATGAATTTACTCTATTAAGTATTTATTATAGTAGTAGTATTTTTGAAAATAATGAAATTAATATATGTAAAAGATTTTCCACATTTTTAGAGGAAATTTAATGTTCTTAATAAAGAGAATTGCTATTTTTCAATTAACATACATGCTGAATGGTATATAAAACTAGGAAACTAGTCAAAAGTCAATTTTTCATATTATAAAATTTTTAGGCGACTAGGTGCCCCAGTGTCGCCCAAAATCGCCTAGACGCCTTGAAAATTATGATTAAAAGAAGCATTTTTGTTTTAATCAAGGTTTGGCAACTTTTCCCCCCAGGTGGGAAAGTTGGTGATACCCAGGAAAATAAACTTTCCCTGGTCCCCACCTAAATTTGAAAAAAAAGAACATGAGGTTCTTGGTCAATAGAATCAAAATCCTGACCAACTTTTTCCCTGCCACAATCCAAAAAAAAAAAAAAACGCCCGAGTGTTGATGTGGGATAAAATAATCTTACAGGAACACATAAACTATGGACCTTGCCATGTTTTCTTTATTGTTGGGTGATATCGTGAATTACTTTTCGAGATAAAAGTGGGATTATTGGACAAATTCTCAAGGATCATTTGTTTAGAGCAAATTATCCTTCTTCTCAAATGGAAAATCATAGTCCTATTGATTGATTAGCTTGGAGCAACTGTTCATACTGGGAATCCAGGTTAGATGAAATGCAAGATGGGCATTCGGTAAGGATCTCAAATATGGGAATTCATTACTTGAGAAACATGTTGTGTTTTCTTTGCCTAGAGAATCCACTTGTGGAGAAAATTTGTATATTTTGCAAGAAAACTTGAGATCAAACTCTCAAGTTTGTTGAAGACCTCTAAACAATTCGAAGCTTTCCTACCTTCTCTATGTATTACAAAAATAGGTTTCTTATGTGTTGACTCCTTGACACAAATAGAAACAGGATCTTAGAGCTTTGGGTGGTTGCGGGTTTTAACCTCCTTTGTTACAAAAAATGCACGACCTTTTTGGAAAAATACAGTCATTTTTCTAGGCAAGGACCGATAAATTGGAGGTCGGATCTCCTAAATTCAGTTTCGTGTATGCTAAGGGTGTACTTCCAATTAGAGAGTTGTATGTCACACTTTGCATGACCCCTAAGGTTTAGCAAATGGACAAGAACTTATCCTACTGTTTAAGAAATTACTTAACGTACCCCCAACATTTATGATAATAGACAAATGTTACCCTTATCGTCAGCTTCCTATTAAGATCCATCAGCATGTATCACGTGACATTATTACGTTTTTAAAATGCCGAAACTATTCTTTTATGATCGAAAATACCCTTCGGTCTTTGAAATTGGACAAGGATATCCCCTACCATAACTTGTCGCCCTTTACAGGTTTCCTCCATTGACAACATCGACAATCACGACAAGCTGAGCGTTGCAGTGAGGAATCATAGTAGGTTACCTGTGTTGGTGACGGAAACTTGGGTAGGAGCAGCAAGTAAGTGAGGTGGGGTGATAAGGTGTTTCATAGGGGGGTCACCTGACGGTAGGGGAGGGTCACTAGCAAGCAAGGTGGGGTGGGTCACAATCCCTGCTCTGCAACTGTTTGTCAAAATGTCAGGGGATAGCCTTGTGCGTGTGCAATGCATAACTGGCCCGCCTACACCCACCCACTCATGCACCCGCCCACACATGCCTGCTTACACCCGCCTACCCTGCCCACACACGCCCACCTGCATGCCTACCCCGTCCATCCCCTTGCTCCTGCACACTCCACCTGCTTACCCTTCCCACCCACACCCATCCACTTGCCTACCTCGTTCACCCGCACATGCTTGACTTCTTTTTTTTTATATTGTTTTTGGACATATATTTCAGGTAAATTATGAAGATAAATTGTCCATGCGGATGTGGAGAATGCATCACTATGGAGTCTAGAAATTAGAAATTTGAGAATAATATGCAATTCCAATTGCAACGTTGGTGCATACGGATAACTAACAATTGTTATTGGCTTGTTTTAGCATGCTAGGGACATTAGCTGCAATTTCTTCTTATGGATATAGATGAGGCGAAAATGTGCCCATGTGAACTTAGCATATGTCGTGTGTTTTAATCCAAATGACGCAGCTCATATGGTAATTGATTCTAGGTTTGTGCCAAGGCATAGGTAGTATATACATTGTTGTGCCTACCTCATATGGATTTTGTCAAATACATAATTGTGCCTTGGTCTGTTAATGCAGGAGAAAGGAGGGTGTAGGTTTTTTGCTTGGATACATAAGCAAGAAAAACCTAACCAAAGTAGAGAATTCATCGAAGGGAGAGTTTCCACATCATCTTCATGCAAGCTTCATCATCTACGAGATACACTAGATGAGGTTGAATCGGTGTTGCAATTAGAGAAGGACAAAGTTGGATAGTAAGTCCCAATTGTGTGATAAGGTGTTGAGTTGCATACAAAAGTTGCACATTAAAGATGCGTAATGAAACTTTTTTAGCATTACTTTCATGGTTGTCATATGTAAACACTCCCTTATTTTGGCCTTAACCTTCAATTCAAATGAACTAATGTGTCTAGCTCAATTCAATGTGTTAGATCAAGTTAAATCCAATGTGTTAGGTCATAGTCTAAGTACAGGAATATCTCAATCCAATGTGTTAGATCAAGTTAAATCATTTAGGTTAAATGTGTTGAAATTTTAGGGTTGTAATTCATTTGGTTTAGATCAAGTTAAGTTATCAATAGCTCAATCCAATGTGTTGACATCTTACCCTACAACCTTAATCCAACTTGATTAGATGAAATGAAATCAGCAATAGCTCAATCCAATGTGTTGAAATCTTACCCTACAACCTTAAGCCAACCTGATTAGATGAATTGAAATTAGCAATAGCTCAATCCAATGTGTTGGAATCTTACCCTACAACCTTAAGCCAACCTAATTAGATGAATTTAAATCAGCAATAACTCACCCACAGTGGTGAAATCTTAACTACAATCTTAAGCCAAATTGATTATGATGTTATGTTGGTTGAGTTGGATTCAGATTGAAGCTCAACTGTAACCCCAACCCAACTTAACTCCAAGATGGTGACTACATTCCAAGAAGTTGGTTTTATACTTGCTACCAATGGTTAAATTACATTTAGGAGGCAAAGGAAAAATATTGACATACCAAAATAATTCATGCTAGTTGGAGTTATAACTAAAGCCTATAGTCATACCCATCTGATCGCCTACAATGCTTGACTTGGGTCTTAAAGTTTAAGATCTAAAAGTGGTATTCAGATCCACTTTTAAGACATGATCCCAAATGTCTATTACCTTTGAAAAGCAAGTTTTTCAGAGATAAGAGGCAGATCCAGCATTATCAAACGCTGCTTTAGTTGAAAAGCAAAATCGCGTTCGTCACCAAATTCTCCTGATCTCGTGCCCTAACGGTTTATGACGAAGAGTTAACGGTAGGGAAGTCTTTAAATAGTTGTCTTCAAAAAGTAGGGTACTTTAAGACAATATGTAAGCAATAAGGGTTAGTTAGTCAATTAGCTAAAGGGTATATATTGGGCAAATTTCTTAAAGTATCCTTATGGTTTAGCTAATTGACTAACACTAGACTTACTATTTATATATTGTCTTGAAGTACCCCTAAATTTTCTTACAATTGACCAAGTATTCCCCTACTATTAGGGTTCCGTCACAATATGCTCACATGTCACACCACATGACTGTTATATTTTAACAAAATGATAATAATACATTTTCTTTTACCGATATTGATTTATCGTTCAGTGCTACGGTGTTTTCAATAGTTTTCTCTCTCTCTTTGGTGAAGTTTTGGAACTGGCTAACATCAGTAAAACGTTTTCAGTGGAAATCGACCAACATCAAATATTCATAATAATATAGTATTGCTTCTTCTGTCTACAAGTTTTTTTGAAGTCACCTTGGTTCGACTCAACATGTTATGAATTAATAAATGATGGGTGTAAGTATGTAAGAAAATGTGATTAACGATTGTGTAATAAAAGGTGAAGCATTTTCAAGCCTTTGATGCTCATTCTACCCAAGAAAGAATAAATGATGTTTGTAAGCGATGAAAAAATCAATTTTTTTTGCAATTAAGCTTCAAATATAAGAAGGCAAGATGAGGGTTTTCTTGCTTCTTCTAAGCTTCTGCCGTTAATCACTAACTCAGAATCAAGAAGCTTGCCAAAGAAGATGAGGCAGAATAGGCCTATCCCTCACTGGATCCGTATGAGGACTGACAATATAGAGACAGAGTCAAAGATGGAGACGAAAAACAGAAATGGAAATGGAATCAAGAATGGAGACAAAGAACGGAAAGGAAACGGAGTTGAGATGGAGACGAAAACAGATACGAAGTTGAAGATGGAGACGACAAATGGAGACTGAGATGGAACAGCGATTTACTTCTTTTGGGTTTTATTTTGAAAATTTGAAGAATGGTAAAGGGCAAATTAAACATTTCATTTTTTTCATTAGCATTTAATGGCATTGTCAAATTATTAGAAACAGTAATAATACTTTAAGGTAATATATAAACAATAAGAACAAAATTTATGTATTAGCTAAATCAAAAGGATAGTTAAAAAAGTTTAACTTTGTCAATTAACTAAATCAAAAGGGTAGTTTAAGAAAATTTCCATGCGGGGGAACGAAGTAAAGATTAAAATGCAAAAAATAAAAATGCGGGCATCAATCCCCGTACCTCTCGCATGCTAATCGAACGCTCTATCATCTGAGCTACATCCTCAATAAGTAATATACATTATTATATAAAGAATAATAAATGACAACTACAGTCGTGTACCCCTCACTCTATAGGAAGATCTAAAATGGCGGATCTCTCGATGCCGAAACTTCCTAACGTAAAGACATTCAGATCAAAATGAAAAGAAGACAAGTTAACGCAACAAAACGACATCATACCTTCTCTAATGTCTTCGTATTTCGGCGTTTTCTTGGAAAGGATCAAAGGTACGTTCTCAGTTCATCTTGTTGTTAGCTAGCTAAATCAAAGATGGAAATCCCGCTCTCTCGTTTCCAAAGCATATCACTGGATCAGCTCCAAAGCAGTTCTAGTTCTAGCTTTCCATGCTTCCTTTTGGGTTCTAAAATTTTCACACAAGGAAAGATTTCTTTCTTCTCTGCGTCTGACTTTTTTAAAACCAGAAGAAGCTTTAGGACACTACCTTTTCATTTCAATTGTTATTCTCTTGAACAAGGACTACAACCAAGACCAAAGCCGAAACCCAAGCAAACCACCCAAAATTTGGAACTAGAGATTCGACCGGAAGAAACCCAGATTAGAAAACCCACTTCAGGACTATGTACTCGGATAGAGAAGCTGGTGTTCTACAAGAGGTACGAAGAGGCACTTGAATTGTTCGAAATATTGGAATCCGAGGGTGAGTATTACGTTGAACCTAGCACGTATGATGCTCTAGTGGACGCGTGTATTGCTAAGAAGTCAATTCGAGGTGTAAAAAAAGTCTTCAATTACATGACAGAGAGCGGGTTTCAACCAGATCAGTACATGAACAATAGGGTTTTGCTCATGCACGTGAAATGTGGAATGATGATTGATGCACGACGATTATTTGAAGAAATGCCTGAACGAAATATTGTGTCATGGAACACAATTATAGCTGGGCTTGTTGATTCGGGGAATTTCATAGAGGCCTTCCAATTGTTTTTGCTCATGTGGCGAGAGTTTTCCGATGCTGAGTCCCGCATGTTTGCCACAATGATTCGGGCTTCTTCTGGTTTGGGACTTGTTTCTGCAGGGAAGCAATTACACTCCTGTGTGCTGAAGATGGGAATAAGTGGGAATATTTTTGTTTCTTGTGCTTTGATTGACATGTATAGTAAATGTGGGAACATCGAAGATGCTCAATTTGTTTTTGGTGAGATGCCGGAGAAGACAGTGGTTGGATGGAATACGATTATAGCAGGGTATGCCCTTCATGGTTATAGTCAGGAAGCCTTGAATTTGTATTATGAGATGCGAGATTCGGGTGTAAAGATGGACCACTTTACTTATTCAATAATTATTAGAATATGTTCTCGGTTAGGTTCACTAGAACATGCTAAACAAGCTCATGCAGGATTAGTCCGTCATGGATTTGGGTTAGATATAGTAGCTAACACAGCGCTGGTGGATTTTTACAGAAAATGGGGTAGGATTGAAGATGCTCGGCATGTTTTTGACAAGATGCCTCGTAAGAACATTATTTCTTGGAATGCTTTGATTGCCGGATATGGTAACCATGGCCAGGGAGTTGAGGCTATTGAAATGTTTGAACAGATGCTTCGTGAGGGAATGGTCCCCAACCATGTCACCTTTCTTGCTGTTTTGTCTGCTTGTAGTTATTCAGGTTTATCAGATGAAGGGTGGAAAATTTTTGAGTCAATGAATAGGGTCTACAAGATCAAGCCTAGAGCGATGCATTATGCATGTATGATTGAGCTTTTAGGACGGGAAGGGCTCTTGGATGAAGCCTTTGCATTGATAAGAGGTGCTCCCTTTACTCCTACTATGAACATGTGGGCGGCACTGTTGACAGCCTGTCGGGTCCACAAAAATGTAGAGCTTGGAAAATATGCTGCTGAAAAGCTTTATCGGATGGAACCTGAAAAGCTTAGTAATTATATTTTGCTTTTGAACATATACAATAGTTCTGGGAGATTGAAGGAAGCTGCTGCAGTTGTTCAGACATTGAAAAGAAGGGGCTTGAGAATGCTTCCTGCATGCACTTGGATTGAAATCAAGAAAACATCACATGTTTTTCTTTCTGGAGATAGATCTCATGCACAATCAGAAGAGATTTATAAAAAATTAAATGAACTAATGTTGGAGATAGGGAAGCATGGTTATATTCCGGAGAAGAAATCTTTGCTTCCTGATGTTGATGAACAAGAAGAGCGGATTTTGTCTTTCCACAGTGAGAAGTTAGCTATTGCTTTTGGGATCATCAGTACACCAGATTCAACATCTTTGCAGATTGTGCAGAGCCATCGGATCTGTGGTGATTGCCATAATGTAGTTAAATTGATAGCCATGGTTACCAGACGGGTAATAGTCATCAGAGATGGTAGCCGTTTTCACCATTTCAAAGATGGGACTTGTTCTTGTGGGGATTACTGGTGATCGTACAAATACTTCATTGTGAGGTAAAGATTCTTTTCATCAAGTAAATTAATATGTTTTCTTGGTCAATGAAAATATAATCTTACTATCATAGTTCATAGATGCACTTTGTATTTTTATAAAGTTATGAATAGAAATACAGAAATCCTTTCTTTCTAAATCTCTGCAAATTTGTACTTTGCTTAGTCATTTTCAGATGGATGATATAGGTTTTTACTCCAGCAAGTGTTTATGCTCTTAGAATTGTGTGTGTGTTGAAAAAGGATGTCTGATATCACCAGATGTGAAATGATTAATCTCATCTCTTTAGAAGAATAGACTTACACTGGTTTTTGATGCAATGAATAATTTGTTGGGTCCTCTTCTTCCCTGTAATGAAGTGGCATCATTGTTCATACAGATGGCAGTTCACATATGTTTTAACTGTTAATAACTCTCGTTACAAAAACTTATTCAAAACAGAAAAAAAAACTCTCATTACAAAATTTAGAACTATTAATAGGACATATCTATCTTTCTGTTGATAAAAAAGGGCATATCTATCTTTGATGCCAGACTTGGAATGGGGAACCTGCCCCTTTTTGGTCTGGTGCTTATTTTGTGTCATTACTGCACATTAAGGCTGTGCTTGGTTTGAAGGAAAAAGTAGGGAAAGGAAAGGAAAGGTAGGGAAACCTTTACAAACTTTGTATGGGTTTCCCTACCTTTCCTTTATTTTCCTCACCTTTTCCTTCAAACCAAACATAGCCTAAGCTTCTTTTTCTGGTATTGTTATCACTTACCAACTTTTTTTTTGGAAAAAGGTAATGTAAGTTTATTCATCATAAGCGAAAGAAGGCTGCAATTCAGACCCAAGAAGGCAGTCTGAAAAGCAACCAAAATTACAACCTCCCCCAGGAGCAAGACTGAAACAAAACAGACATACTAAGATCTCTGAATTCCCCAGATGTGGAAAACCAAGAGATCAACTTGCCCACGGCTCTCTGAATTACATGATCAACATCCTTATACCTATTACAAAAGATTCTACTATTCCTTTCAGCTCAAATGGACCACACAGGATTGCATTTGGAATTGTCTTCCACATTAGCTTCCCTCTCTTACTAAGACCTTTCAGCTTCCAGGAACACAAGTGATCCTTAAGTGATCTCGGAAAAACCCAGTTAGCACCCAGAGCTTTAAGAAAATGCAGCCAAATTTGAAGAGAAAATGGACAATGAAGACAAAGGTGCTCCGTAGATTCTTCAGCGGTCCCACAAAGCACACAACTTGAATCCAGAATTGGAATACCCCTTCTCAACAAGTTAGACCTGAAAAGACATTTATCAAGGGCCATCGTCCAGACCAGAAAGTTGGCTTTTGAAGGGCTCAGAGGGTTCCAAATCTGCCCAGCAGGGAACTCAGAACCTCCCACATTATCTAACTTATCAGCCATGGATTTCACAGAAAACACCCCATCCAGCTTCCATTTCCAGCACCACAAATCCTCCCCCAGTACATCAATCTTTTGAACAAGAAGCAGAGACATTAGCTCCAAGAAGTCATCCAATTCCCAATCAAACAAATTCCTCCTTAAGAGAGGGGACCAAAACACTGAATTCTCATTCAATGATAAGTAATCAGCCACAATAGCCTCCTGATTGATTGCACATCTGAAAAGGTGAGGGAAGGAACTAGCAAGGGGGCTGTCTAAACACCATTTGTCTTTCTAGAATTTTGTTATATTTATTTTGCCCACACACACTGAAATCCCTTCCCCAAAGATAGAAAAGTACCTCATAATTCCTTTCCATAGAGAGTTGCCCCAATTTGGAGGGGGATCTCTTGTTCTCCAATTTCCCCAATCAACCCCATATTTTTCAGTAATGAGAGATCTCCACCACGCATTCCTTTCAACTGAGAACCTCCAAATCCATTTGCATAAGAGAGCAGAATTAAAATTCTTTAATTTCCTGATTCCTAGACCACCTTCCGCTTTAGGAAGACAAACTTGGTCCCAATTAACTAGATGGACCTTATTGTCCTGCTCCCAACCTCTCCAAAGGAATTTTCTCTGAAGTTGTTCCCAACTCCCATCATCAGCTGTTCTTTTACAAAACAGGGTCAGAATTTCCATTACACATATGAAAAGCAAAGGAGGCAGAGGGTCTCCCTGCCTCAGCCCCCTAGAACTATCAAAAAAACCTGCCGATTGGCCATTGATCAACACTGAGAACTTAGGAGAGGACGTACAAACTTTAATGCAATTCCTCCACTTCTGCCCAAAATTCATATGGTGCAGGACTGAGTCAATACACCTCCAGTTAACATGATAATACGCCTTCTCAATGTCCAACTTGCAAAATAAACCTGGAACTCCCTCTCTTCTTCTTGAGTGAATTAATTCATTAGCAATGAGGACTGAATCAAGCATCTGTTTACCATGTACAAAGGCACTTTGATTGTTAGAGATGACACTTTCAATCACTCCTTTCATTCTCTCAGCTAGGACTTAAGCCAAAATCTTATAAAAACTGTGAAGGAGGCTGATCGGCTCGAAATCTCTCACATTAACCGCCCTTTCAATTTTAGGGATAAGAGTGATGGAGGTAGCATTCAAACTTCTCTGGAGGGAGGCATTCTCTTGGAAAGCCTGAAACACATTCATGATGTCTTGCTTAACCATAACCCAGCATTTGATGTAAAACAAATTAGTAAGGCCATCCGAGCCAGGCGATTTATCAGCCGCCAACAAGAGAATGGCTGATTTAATTTTCTCCTCCGAAAAAGGCCTTTCAATAAACAACTTTTGCTCTCCACTTAGCTGTTTAAAAGGAAGGTTTCTGGGAAAGGGTCTACGAGCCCAAGATTCTGTATAGAGATGTTTATAAAAACTTATTGCCACCCTCTTTATATCCGCATCAGAGCTCCCAATTTTGTCTTCCCATTCCAGCTTAGAAATAGAAGATGCCCTCAACCTGGCATTAGCCATTTTATGAAAAAATTGGGTATTTCTGTCCCCCTCTTTCAGCCACCTCACTTTAGCTCAATGTCTCCACTTGATTTCATCCTCCACTGCCAACTTTATCACTTACCAACTTTATTCCATAAATATATTTATTTGCAGTCAACTTTATTGACATCTTTTATTTACTCATACAAATATAGAATCCCTAGGTGGCACATCATTTCTTTCAAGAATATTTGATTCTTGATGTTTCTTTGGAACCTCCAAAATCTTTTCATCATTGACATTTGCCTCCATTTCCCTCCCATCAGTATTCTCTGGCAGCTCAATCCGTGGAACATACCCATATGCCCACCAGGAGCTACTTCTCAAGTCCATTCCTTTGGATTCTCGTTGATATCTCCATAGCCCACTGATCTCCTGACCTTCTGTTTTCCAGACATACTTGAGTTTTATGTATATCACCAGGTTTAGAAGCAGTAGTGTTATGATGTTCTAAAGTATCTATTAGAGTAAGCTTCCAATATAATTCTCAGGAAATCTTGGCCTTATCCTAAACTCTTCCAGTTTTAGACAGGCGGAATGAGATGGGGTTACGCCTGTAATGGCATGTCAATTTCGGCTACATTATGATACAAATACTAACCATACTTTAAACTTCGCTCACTAATGTTCTATTTTATCTTTTAATCTTTTTTGCTTTTTTTTTGGTATTTTGCTTTTTATTTCTGATGCAAATGAGCAACCACCATTTAGACAATCAACAAGTATACTTTGTGAAATCAATATCCGCTGGCTTGCAGCTACTTTTGACAGGATCAGAGCTACATCTGCTACGTCTATGGTTAGATGCAACTCACACCTGATCAAATTTAGTAATGGACAAAAAGCACGAATAATAAAATGGATAGATCATCTAGGTATCTATTAGCCACGAGAAAAAACCAGATAGTAGATAATAATTGGTGCGAAACCTACTGTCAAATCTAATGAACTAAATTGATAACCAATAGAAAGTATCGACACTTGTGAAATGCTTCGACAACTATAAGATAAAACTTGCTTCTAATCTTCTCGTATGTTGTGAACTCGTGTAGGGTAAATTGTGAACATGTCCACATCTTTTTATTGCTTCTTATGAAGCTGAGGTTCGCTTTTTGGTACTTGTTGGCATGCCCCGAATGAAATTGCTTCTCCATTTGTATCAGGTTCTCTTTGCTTACCCTCTGACACTAAGAGAAGAAACCTCATCCTCTTGTGGAACGTGAGAAAATATACATCTGGTTGACCTTTATGTTGTTAGAGTAACACATTCTCATTAGTTGTTACAAAAGGAGAGGTTAGATTAACACTTTGATTGATATTGATCAAATAATTGTCCTATATAGAGATGAATACCCTTCCAGTTCTGGATGGAGTGTCCTGTAGAGAATGTACAGGGTCCGAGCTCATTCTCCCAAGGTTCAGTCAAGCTATTAACTTGGTTAGTGGCTCCCAGAAATTTGATGCATTCTATGCTAGTAGATGGAGCTTTTTTAGTTTCCAACTGTGGAATTATTTTGGTATTCTCAAACCCCAGCGTAGTATAGATGGTGAGTTGATTTGGGAAAATATGTTGGCAAGAGATATTGGCACTTCAGAGCCTCAGATTAGTTCATAATCTATAGGTGATAAAAGGATTTGCAAATGGTGATTTTATGGATGACGGTACAGAGCGGCCTTCTCCCCGACTTTGGATCATAGCATCTGATCATTTGTTTTTCGTTGGTTCCACGATATTCCAATTCATCGATTCTCAAGAGAGGAGCAGGAAAATTAGCTTCTATATCTTTATTAAGGTTCATCTCAGCCTGAAATACATTGCTGCTAAAGTTACAAATGGTGAGGAAAGATCACTCTTCCTATTTTCTTACACTACTTTTGACATGAAGTAGCGCTAGTGGAGAAACCTTATGCACAAGCCAAAGAACTGAAGGGACTTTTGTCATAATTCCTGTGGAACAGCCACCACCATGCATTGCAATATTTTTCAAGCCAAAGAACTGTCTACCCTGTTTTCTGCTTCGGTTCCTCAGCTACTCGTCCATGTCTACATTGTAGTACCCATAGTTCTCGACCTATTTGAGACAGGTAAACTTGTGTGAGAAGTGGGAGTTCGCAACATATATAGGGCAACTATTACCAAACACACTTGGTCAAGCATAACGAAAGTAATTTGCAACGGGAAGCTACTACTTGGAAGAGAAAAACTGAACAAATAAAACTAGAATTACCTGAGCATTTGATCGCCTCCTATTCAACTCCTGTGTCCTAGCTTTGTTTGATACTGAATTGGGTGAATAGAGCATCCTCTACATCAAATATAGAAGTTGACATATTAGGAAGAGCATCAGACGAGAAAACCAGTTGAACAAAAGGAGATGTATTGCATATTAGTGACTGATACCAGAAGTTGCAAGGCAAACCTCCTCTTTAGTGGAAAGCACTTGTTTCTTTGAAGCTTTTGGTCTAAAATCGAAAACATCATGGAGAAATGGGTTATTCTGTGATTCAACAGGTTACAGATGATTGATGAATACCTGCTTCAAGGCTGGAAGTCTCTAGGAGAAAGGGGAAATTTGTAGAAGCCCTAGGAATAACTTACCAGCATGTGAGTTTGAAATCCACCTCCAAGAAAGCTTCTGAACATATTTACCTAAGAGAATGGCATACTGTTGTTTTTAGCTATAACAATGAAAGAGAAGAGCCTGTCTTCTTTTTGTTACCAAAAGAAGCATGCCTACCTGGATTGACTGCGCCCATGTTGTTACAGTCAAAGAATCAGAATTACTTAACTTCAAAGATATGTTGGGTCCACTACCACCCTGTATAATACATTACAATTGAATTCCATCCATACAGTAGGAAGGTATCAAGGTTATTAAGAACACCATGTTCCAACAATTGCATGTGTGGAAAAATCTAAATTCACCATGGTCCACATGTTCAGATAGGGAAGGCCATATGTGCAATTGTACCTATGAGTATTCATTTACAAATGGAACAGAGAATGATAATAATTAAGTTTACCAGCCACCAAAGTTGGGACTAAAAGGACAGAGATAAACTATCACCAACCTCTATGAAGTCCAAGATATCATTGAAAAAGTTGCGTTGGCTATTGAGTTCTTTCTTTGAGGTTCCCTTGCCACCGGCCTCAATAGACAAGTCTCTCATTTGGTCAACAACATCATCACAGGTACTTTGAGAGACTATATTCCCACTCACTGTGGTTAATATGGATTCATTATAGTCTAAATCTCTGTAATCAGAACTCAAATTCTCAAAGATAATGGCAATTCCTTCTCCAACAGCAAGCCTGACTGACCTGTCTTCCATAGTTAGAAGTCGGGGCCAAGCCTCAAAATATCTGAAACCAAAGAAACTGACTTAAACTCGAAGTTATTACTTATATATATTAATGTCAGATAATTACACTGGAAAGCCTTTCCAGTTACTCTTCCAAGAGATTGTCATCAAACCATTCTTTAGATAATGTAGTTAAAAGAAAGGCGCAACAAGTTAAGGCTGATGCCCTCACTTCATTAGTTGGTTCTGAAATACCAGAGGCCTACAATTCAATACAAGAACCAAGGATGGAAAAAAGTGAGAGAAGTAGAAAAATAGAACGACTCCATTACAAGTACAGATCATAGAGTGCTTACAGTTTCCTCATCCGAGTTTTCATCCATATTGTGCGAACCAATTTGCCATATAAGAGTGAGTGCGTTAGTAGTATCTTCCTCATTCCCAGCAGTGAATGCTAAAATTGCAATAGATTTCAGTGCCTGCATGTTTTGAACTATTAAACAAGAAGAGAACCAGATTTTTCCATTTTCCAGACTAGTTGTAAAGATATGGCCACATGCTCAGTGTCATACAGAAATTGTTTCCATTCAATCTAATATACAAAAATAAGTGATTAGGACACCCGTTTACCTTTGCATTTGAAGTTATACTATTTATTATATAGACCAATCAATGATTTGCAGTGATTTTTTGCTATTGCCATTATTAAGCATGTTGAATCAATACGGGGGTAACTCCTGAGGATATGAAAGAAGTACGAACAACAGAGGGTGTGTCTGTTAACCAATTTGTCATCAATAAAATGATCAAAGATTAGATTTTGAAATTAAGTTTGAAAAACCCAAAATATAGCAAATGAGAGCTTTAAGATAGCAGACCAGTGGGAATGGATGTTCCATGTGGCTCCTTTTGAAGATAGGTTTATACATCAGCACAGAAGAAATCCTTCAACAGTGGCTGATTAGAATAATAAAATTTACAGGGTTACTCTTTGTGCTTCTCCTTTCACTTCCCACTATTTAGAGAAGTAGGCAGTATAAGCTTTTAACTCTTCCAAAATTTTCCTGCTGAAAAAGTATCAGCTAGTTTACATTAGAATTGTATTATGTATATAATATCACCAGTATTTTATTGTTCTTCAGAGCTTGGCAGCAGTATGATACTATGATGTAAAAATTCATCAAACAGTTAAAAAATAGATAATGAAAGAGAGAAGAAATCCTATATGATCCAATAGTATAATAAATTGAATGAAGGATGAAGAGTACATAACATAAAAGAGCAATCCAACGTGAAAGTAATCTAATCATATAGTATACCGAAATGCGACTAGCCTCATCCAGGCTCTGTTTAGATATGCGGCTTAGATGAATAAATGATTCTTTGAAAATCATATTTGCTAATTTACTCTCACCAGCACTGATTCCAAGCAAGCCTACAACATTCCCCTCACCAGTCACATTTCTCAAATAGTATATGTATCTATACATTTATATTATATATACTAAGGCTATGTTTGGTCTGAAGGAAAAGGTGGAGAAACCTATATTTTGTAAAGGCTTCCCTATCTTTCCCCTCCTTTCCCTACCTTTTCCACAGCCTAAGAGAAAGAAGCCAGTCATGCTTCCTTAATTCTTACCCAGTGTGCGAGCAGCTAATGAAATTTCAGAAGCAGAACCTTTTCTGAAAATAGACAGGCATTGGCGAAGTATGGTCTCGCCCCTGTATTGATTTAGAGAAGGAAGGAAAAGAGATAGAGAGATACAATCACCAAACTGATATTTGAGGCTATCTATATATCAATGAAACTTCCTGTGACAGTTCATTTCATGGGCCTTACTTGCTCATCACAAAATCTAGCTGCAACTTGCTTGTTAGTGCCTTCGAAAGTATATCAAGTCCTTGTTCCCTGGTTGATGACCTATTTTATGAATGCGAAAAAGCAATCTTAGCCCACTTCACTTGGGGAAATATGAAATTAAGAGTAGAATTGATATAGGCTACGGTCCTTGGACCTTGCCAACAATAGAATTTAAGATTAAAGGTTCAATGGGCTGGGCTGGGCCATGATGGTTGTAAATGTTATGTGTTGGTTTATGGGCTGGGACGAGACGGGTGGCTGTGTCTCTATCATAAATGTCTACTCTGACTAATGGTCGTGACTTGCTCATATAGTAGTAGTGTAGCTTTAGCCTTTAGCTTGTACCTCTTTTCATAAAGCATATCCAGGACATCCTCAATATCGGGCTTCTCTCCCCGAACTTGAGCGACAGCTTCATGAGATAGCGACTGTTGTCCGTCTGAAGACTCGGCTGTGGAAATGGTGCTGACTGTATCATCACCGTCGTCATCCTCCGTCTCGGCGCCTTTCACCGTCTGCCGTTTATTTTTGCCTACACAGGCCAGTATTCAAATTTCTTCAGCAGTTGCTTTGCCACTCTGCAACAAATGCTTGATAACAACAACAGCAATAAAAATAACGAGAAACTTTAGAATCCAAAAAGGATTTGCAGAAAACAATTCACCTCTACCCATATTTGCTATTTGTTATTGAATCTAAGCTTTAATCCTTATTTCGTTAGTTTGTGCTTGTGTGTATGAGAGAGAGAGAGAGAGAGGGTTCTAATTTCTGAAGTCTGAACCTCAACCGACAGTGGAAAATATGGACTCCAGTAGTGAGGCTATTCGGTGAGCCGGTGATCTCCTGATTCACTCATACTCATGCAATTGACGTGCCTTCTTTTCTTTCTTACATATCTACGTTGTGCAGTCCTTACATGTGGCACACGTGTGGATGGTATAGAGGGTGGGATGGTCGTGACTCATGAACCGGGAAATCCCAAAGCCCGAGATCGGCTTCCCGCTTTCATGAACAGCTGTACCCATTAGCAATTGGGATCTGCTCATCAAGCGTTCCTCACGGTTCCACAAGTCGCACGGACCTGACAGCCACATTCCACCGTGTATCATCAAGGAATATCTCCCATTCCATGAATAATAAATTAATCGTTATCTGAAGAGCATATTCGGACTTCTGTGTGTTTGCTTCTCTGTCCAAGAGGCCCCCACACAACAACAAAAACCTGGTCGATGGTCAGTCACGTAGCAGCTTACATGGTAGTATAGTGGGTCCAGATGAGTTCTGAAGACAGGAACTTAGAACGTAGGCCGGGGAACATCTTCCATATTTCACAGTATTCATAGGAAGATGTTTTCAATACACCGTGGGATGAAGTGTAAACATTATTTAAAGTGCTATTGGGATTGTGTCTTATTTTTAGATTAATTTTAATTTAAAGATTGGTTTAGTCATTCTTTAGGTTAAAGAGATTTTACATATAAAAACTTTTTTTTGTATGTAGGAATAAAGTGTTTTTTTTTTTTTAAAGAGAAGGTGTGAGAGAAAAATATAGAGTGCTTTTGGTGTGAGAGTGGGTTTTTCTCTTGTTTTTGTTATTCGGGTAGAGAGGAAAGGGAGAACGGGTGTATAAGGGTTAAGGGTTGGTTCGGGCTGCAAGCCATAGGGTACTTGTATTGTTTCTCAATTTTCTTTCATAGTGAAGAACATGCTTTATTTCTCTTGTGGACGTAGGCGGTAAGGCCAAATCACGTAAACCTTTGTGTTTTTTGTGACGCGCTTGGATTTCATCATTTTTGTTGCCATTAGATTTCTCGTGGTTGCTATTTCAAATACCTTGTGATTTTATACTATGGGTGATTGTTGCGAAACCCCCAACAAAGTGATATCAGAGCTCCCAAGTTAGTACTTACAAGGTGCTTGTAAAATTGCTTGAAAAATAATAGCAACAAAATGTACAAGTTCTCAATTCCATATTGAGAGGTTTATGGCAAAAGCAGTTTTATCCTATGGAAAAGAAGGGTAAAGGATGTCCTGGTTCAACAAGGTTTGGCTAGATTGAAGGAAAAGAATGGAAAGACACAAGACATGAATGATGCTGATTGGGAGGACGTTGAGTCAAGGTGTGTTACTACGATTTAATTGCTCCTGGCTGAAACATTATGTTTAACGTTATGGAGGAAGATTCTATATCGGAATTGTGGGATAAGTTGGAGAAGCTTTATTTAGGAAAAAGCTTAACTACAAAGCTATATCTGAAGCGACAGTTGTATACGCTGAAGATGGAAGAAGGTAGGAATCTCTTGTAACACCTAAATGTATTCAACAGTATTTTAGACTAACTAGGGAAAATTAATGTCAAGGTGGAGGAAGAAGATAAGGCCCTTTTATTTCTTACCTCACTTTCTGATTCATATGAAAAACATGGTGACAACATTGTTGTACGGGAAAGATACAGTGAAGCTGGAAGAAGTTATCGCATCTCTTCTATCCAATGAGGTTTGGAGGAAGCCCAAGTATGAGAACGGGCATGACTCTACGTTGGTTATACTGAGAATGGATCGAAAATGAATGTTGTCTAACAAGGGGTCTAAGAGTAATAAATCTAAATCCAAGGCCAGGGAAAATGGCAAAATATAGTGTTACAGATGCAAAAAATTTGGTCACATAAAAAGAGACTGTCCTACATGAAAAAGGAGTGGGGATGAATATGGAAGCATGACAGTTGCATCTGATGATGATGGAGATGTTCTCCCAGTCTCCAAAGGTATGTGCAAGTTTTTCTCCAAATGAGTGGATTTTAGATTCTGGATGTTCTATGCATATTTGCTTCAATAAAGAATATTTTGATGCATTCCAAGAGAGGAAGACAGATGTTGTCTGGTTGAGTGATGGATCTACGTGTAATATCACGAGTATTGGGACAATGGAAATCAAAATGTTTGATGTTGTGGTTTACACTTTGGGTAGTGTGGCGTATGTCCCAAAAATGTCCAAGAATCTAATATCACTTAGTCAATTGGACCCCAAGGGTTGCAAGGTTTTTGCTGTAAGTGGAACCATAAAAATCATGTGTGGTGGTATGGTCATGATGAAAGGGAGAAAAATGCAAGGGTTTGTATCATCTGGTTGGGAGTACAGTAGTTTCCAAGACCTCGATGGGATGTTGGAAATGGAATGCACAAGGTAGTGTGGCCGCACAAAGGGTATCTTTTGCGGATAGAGTAGAGATAAGTGCTGTAAGTTTTTAAGGTATAGATAATGGTGAGAGGAAGATTCTTGTTGGAAAAGAAAAATTATAGAGGTTTCTCTTTGAATTTAACTAGGATTGTTAGCTTGGGTGCAATTACACAAGTACACTAGTCATTTTGTTTTAATCAGGTGGAGTTAGGATTGAATGATTCAGGTTATTTGTAACTAGTGATGTTTTACAGGGCCAATTGGGGTTTACAGTATTTTCAAATTGGTGGAGGTACAAATAGTATATCTATAAGGTGGTTGAAAAAAAGTCAAAGTGGAGATTATTGGGATTGTGTCTTATTTTACAACTGTTGCATTGATTTTAATCTAACGGTTAGTGTGGTCCCTCTTTAGGTTAAAGATACTTTACATATAAAAGCTTTCTTTTGTATATAAGAATAAGGTTTTTTTTTGGGAGAAGGTGTGAGGGAAAAATAGAGTGCTCTTGGTGTGAGAATGGGTTTTTCTCTTGTTTTTACTCTTCGGGTTGAGAGGAAAGGGAGAACAGGTGTACAAGGGTTAAGGGTTGGTTCGAACTGCAAGGCATACTTGTATTGTTTTTTAGTTTTCTTTCATAGTGAAGAACATGTTTCGTCTCTCTCGTGGACGTAGGCGGTAAAGCTGAATCACATAAACCTTTGTGTTGTTTGTTGTGCTTGTTTTTTATTTGTCTTTGTTTGGATTTCATCATTTTTGCTGCTATTAGATTTCTCGTGGTTGCTATTTCAAATACCTTGTGATTTTTTACTATGGGTGGTTGTTGTAAGGCCCCAACAAGAACAAATTCCAATTCAAGTTTGTGTTAAAAAGTAATTGGATACTTTGCTTCTCAGATTTTTGAAATGAATATATATATATATATATCATATTTCAAATAAAAATGAAATGACCTTTGTATCTTTCAGGGACAATTGACAATAAGTAGGGGTGTCAATTGGACTAGATTTGGTCCAATCCGTCCAGTCCAATGTGAGTCCATTACAAATGGATCTGGTCCAATCCAGTCCAATGAATATTTTGGACCATTTGGGACTGGTCCAGATACTGTTCAATCTGTTCAAATTCCTATTAATTTAGATTGATTTCAACTCAAACCTGGTCCATTGACAACTATGTTCTTATCTTCTATCAATGGACCAGATATTGGCTCAATCCAATATAAATTCATTATGGACGGACCAGGTCCAATCCAATATGTTATATTGGTTCGTCTAGTTTGCCCAAATTCAATATGTCTTATTGGTCCGTCCAATTCGTCCAAATGGATTTTGATTTGGACGGAGTCCAACCCAAAACAGGTCCATTGACACCCCTAACAGTAAGGCTTAGCTTAAAGTACAGGACCATGTATTTGTATTATTTTGTATGCATTTATATTGTATATATTTATATATTTACTTTTTCTAAATCGAATCTAAGGCTTAGTTTGGAAGGAATACAAATACAAATATGTAAAGTACAAATACATACAAAATAATATAAAATACAATGTTTTGCACTCTACATATTTGTATTTATACTCCTTCCAAACTGAGCCTAAAGAGAAAATATTTTGTTTTTTTGTTCATGAGCAAAGAGGATATCAGGAAAAACTCAGACGTGGTTCTTGATTCCGATCAGCAAATGTTTTATTCTCCAACCTATCTGTATTTGGATGGAGTACAAATACAGATAAATAGAATGCAAAGCCTTGCATTTTGCATTATTTTATATGTATTTGCACTGTACATGTGTATTTGTACTATTTCCAATCAGTTTGGCTTGGAAGGAGTACAAATACTGAAATACAAATATGTGAAGTGCAAAACCTTGTATTTTAATTGTATTATTTCGTCTGTATTTGCCTTGTACATATTTGTATTTGTATTCTTTCTAAACTGAATCGACTCAGTTTGAAGAGTAAAAATACAAATATGTACAGTACAAATACAAACAAAATGTTGAGATTCACATGTATGAATAGTAGAAGAGAATTCTGCATTAGAAAGGAGTAAGAGAACTACAAGGGACTTATATATAAGAGTGGTCCATAACCCAATAACTTAAGCTTTTGGGTTTTTTTTTTTATGGTGCCCCTCTTTTGTATGCGAGTCCTACGTGCATATACGTGTATGAACCCCTGGTTTTGACAAATCCACTCAATTCACAACACAAAATACAAGGTTTAACACTCTTTTAAGTATTTGTATTTGTGCTCCTTCCAAAACTGAGCCTAATTTGTTTGTTGGGTCAGAGCTCTGAATTAAGTTGCTTTGCGCCAAGATTTTGTTTTTTTTTTTTTCTGTATATATATATATATAGTTGCATTTGTAATAAACCAAAATGCAAAATAAAGGTAGAAAACTAGAAATACAGTGTTTAAATCTACTGCCGGAAAGACGAGAGCTCCTGAAATCCTACATTACAAACAGGCATAATATCATCTCTTCTATAAAATGATGCTGAAGAGGCACCTTTCCTCTGAATATGAAGTTATTGTTTCCACTTTCCACTACTGCTGTTCCTTCTTCGCATTGCAGAATAAATCGAGTTTAAGAAAAAATAAATAAATAAATAAAGATGCCTTGCCTTTAATATACAT